ACTGAAGCTAACACTCTGAGACTGAAGCTAACACTCTGAGGCTGAAGCTAACACTCTTAGGCTGAAGCTAACATATGAGTTGTGTAACTAAAATGTCTTGATCAAATCCCATCAGGTGTTAAAGCTTCGATCCAGATGTTTTGTTTAGTAGAAGCTGAATCTTCCTCACGTCACTGCTCTGTTCATTTGAAGCTGATTACTCTATTTAGAAATCATGCGTATGACTAAATAAGAATGTCCATCATCAGTGATGTGTTGAAAATGGAGTTAAACAACATGGAGGTCCTGAACAATCAGTCAACACGAGTGAGAAACATCAGCATCGACACCAGATAAAGTTTATCTCCAGATAAAGTTCAGCACACATGCTAACCTGTTAACACTGACTTCAATTTAGTCTCTTCAGTGTATTTAAAACTCGTACTGTTGCCATCTCTAATACTTATATCTGTATTTCTGTGTATGTCATGTATACTCTGACCATTATATTTACATCTGCAGCTGTAACATGAAACTTCACCACTAGATGTCACTAAATTCTACACACTGCACCTTTAAGTAGCCGTTAACTCTCAAACATGTATTTGCATCATCACAAATGTTTGATGGTTCCAGCTTCTCATATGTGATCACACACATGACACCACTGAACATCTGTATGTTCTGGACCTGGCCTCTGTTACATTAGACTGTGGGAAATGATACCAGGCATTTTTATTTGATTAATGAAGCAGTGTGTAGATTAATGCAGAATGAAATATGATGAAAATGTTATTAATGCTTCATCGGTTGCTTCAGAGAATAAACAGCCACTGAACGAACCATAAGATAAGAGAATAAGAAATAATGACAAATAACAAGCAGACTAAAGAAAAGGCCTGAGGTTCTAAGTACCTGTTCGTTTACTTCCTGTGTTTGTCTCTGGGATGTCAAAGCTGTAGTTATGGATTGTAATCCAGATGTGGTGACTGTCACTGACGATGTGTCTTTACTGATAGACTGTGGCATCAGCTGACTCTGAAACTGACAGACTTCGTTAAAGACCCCTGCTTCAAATCAGGAGATGGTCTCATTCAGGTAACTGCACCACTTTGAATGAGTGAGGACGCACCCAGCTTTCAAAATGATACCACAGCTTGGATCTTAATGTATTCAGGAGAGTTGTACGATGTCCTCTCTTGTCTGTAATAATATATAAATGACTCATGATGTAACTGCAGCGCTGTATCTCGTGTCGGTGAATTGTTTAATCTTGCTTCTATGTTTTATTTAAAAAAGACACAAAGTTTTACTGGTGAAAAGAAAAGTTTACTTGAAATATCTACGAATATAGAATATAGATTTAAAGCCTGAACAATAAATAATGTCATAGTCCAAATATTGTTTGTAGCCAATTTGAGGATTTAGTTTCTAATTGAACATTCATTTATTTTCTTCTTACAGCTTTATGAAAATTTCATCAATGACTTCGAACACAGGTGACGTAAAATGGACCCACAGAATAATGTTCAGTCTCTACTGTTGGTTGTGATGCTAATTCATTTTTCTTCATGAACAGAATCAATCCTCTGTCCCTCGTGGAGATTATTCTGTTTGTTGCCAGACAGATGACAGGTAATGACAACATGATGGAGTCAAGGACATTTCTCTGCACAACTTTTGTTGAGTGTTTGAGAAAATGCTTTTTGTTCTCAGATCCTAAAGATGCCATAACCTTTCTCGAGAAGACCAAGGAAAAGGTAAGTGGACGACAGGTTTTGAATAATTAATTTTGTGAGCAGAAAGTGAACACGCCCCTCTGCGTGTCCTAGGTGAAAAGCAGCGACGAAGCCATGATTCTCTGCAAGACGTCCATCGGCAAGCTCAAGCTGGAGATCAACGATCTTCCTGCCACAAAGGTGAGAGCTCCTAAAATCTCATGTCTCTTCCAAAGCTGCCGACACAAAACCAGCCTCACACCTCATTCAGCTGGAACACGTGTTGTCCTCACATGTGAGGTGTCGTGAAGACAGAGCGACAGAAACCAACAGCTGTCAAACACAACAACAGATTTTTATCTCATACATGGTGTGAAAGTTCATTCACTCACCAGAATAACTTGGAGTTTGTCATCATTAGATTTCCAGGAGAAACACAAACAGTGAAAGAAAGGTGTCTTGTAACTTTGCTGTAGGTCCTGTCAATGAAGGTATAAAGCTGTTAAAGTCCTGATGAAATTCGTCTTTATCCTCCAGAAACTCATTGAAGAGGTCGAGGAAATGTTGAATAACTTGCCTGGGGTGACGTCCGTCCACGGACGGTTTTACGACCTCTCCAGCAAGTATTATCGCATCATCGGAAACCACGCCTCCTACTACAAGGATGCCCTGCGCTACCTCGGATGTGTGGACATTAAAGACCTTCCAGGTGAGCAGAGGCATGATGGGAAACAATCAGGCTCCGATTTCCCGAAACTATCAGCAGCTGAACGATTTGTGTGTTGCTGATTCACAGAAACGGAGAAGCAGGAGAGGGCGTTCACGCTCGGACTGGCGGGACTCTTAGGAGAAGGAGTTTATAACTTTGGCGAGCTGGTGGGTTTCTCTCTAAAAACCCACGTTTCTCCTCATGAGGTTTTATTTCCCTTCAGCTGAAGCTCAGCGTGATAACAACCAGGTCCCGTCTGACATGTTTGTCTCCGCAGCTGATGCATCCTGTGCTGGAGTCTCTGAGGAACACAGACAAACAGTGGCTCATTGACACACTTTATGCCTTCAATGGAGGCAACGTGGAGAAATTCCAGGGCTTCAAATCTGCCTGGGGCCAACAGGTAACAAACGGGGGGGCTCACAGTTTCAGGATTGTTCATTCCAAAAATGTATAAAATATCTTTTCTCTCGTTTATATTGTTTTTTAATGATATGCTCACCCCTCGTAGATTACATAGTAAGACACTGAAGATAAATCTGATCAGTAAGTTCGGACTAATAGAAACAAATAAAGTTTAGCACTCACATGTTCAACTGGGGAGAGGATTACATGTTGACTTTGTTCTCTACACGCACGTCTGAAGGTTTGTTGAACAGTGATCACACTTTATCTCAGTCACTGGTTGTTCACTGGTTGGATCTGAATCAAAGTTCTAAATCTTATAAACCGTGAATGACTAGAAATGAAACACGATTTCAACATTAGACAAGTTAACAAAGAAGTGAAGTCACAGCAGATGTGTTTAATTTATTATTCAGTGAAGTAGATCCACTCATCACCTCCGTTAGTTACTGTCACCAACGTGGTCACAGCCTCGGGTAGTTTGTTCAAAGCCTCAGAGACAGAAATAAAATAACAGAGGATGCACCTTAAATTAAAACAGGGAGAGAAACGTGCTGATTAAAATCTTTAGTATTTGTTCAGTAGGTAAAAAGAATGAGAAGAGGTTAATATCTATGAAATAAAATATGGGTTTGAACACGGAGCCAGCAGACGTTCAGTGTAACTGACAGGAGGGTTTTTTATTCTGTGTAAATAATTGACTGATTTATTTTTCTCTCTCGGTCGTAGCCCGACCTCGCAGCACATGAAGCTAAACTGATGCAGAAGATCCAGCTGCTCTGTGTCATGGAGGTGAACACACACACACACACACACACACTACATTACACTCATACTCTTAAGTTTTATACTGGCTTTGACCTCATGGGCATTACTTTGTATTTACTTAATTATTATAGTAGTAATAGTATTAATATTTGAAGTGGAAGTACGAGCAGCTGTTTTGATTTAGTTTTATCTGAGTTCATGGTCTTCAGTATTGTTTCATGTCGACAGAAGAACCTGGTTTAATTTAAATCACATGAGAGGAGCCGTCTGGGGCTCGTTGTAAACACCACGTACATCGTGTTCAGTACCTCTCTCTCTTTTCTGTGACTGTGTTGATTTCTGCTGTTTGAGCTCCACATGTTGGTCGGCATGAGATGCTGCTGCAGCTGAATCATCGATAATACCACAGAGGTAAACAGCTGAATCATCACTGTGCAGTGTGATGGTTGTATGTATTGTTTCTAGTCTCCTCTGGATATCTATCTACCTCACATTTACAAACAGGCCTGTGTTTGTTCACACTGCCACCTTGTGTCTGAGAGGTTTATCTGTTGCTATTTCAGGAATCGTGTTTTGCTTCATGTATGATTCAGTGTTTTTCACAGGAATAGATTTTGTGAGAAACACCCCGCAGACAGCGAGAGTTAATTATTATCACACAAGCTGCTCGATGCCGTCGTGCTAACAGAAACCTACAGGTGATATTCTGAGGTTTTTCTTCCTGCTGACAACAAGTACACAAAGTTTTACTGAGTCTGTGGAGGGATGAATGACATCATGGCGGCTGCTGGAGTCGAGGTGATTATTTTCAAACCATCAACAGTGTGGCCCATTGAGACAGAAGAACAAGTCCAGTGGAGGAAGCTGCTGTATTAGCTTTAGATTTTATTGAACCCTGTAAATACAAGATGGACGACATGTCTCCACTTCCTCCCACTGTGCAAAACTGAAGCCGAATGATCCCAGGGTCCGGATCTTGTGCAGCAGTTGTTGTGTTGAGGAGCGGCTGTGTCTCACTTTGTTTTTACATCATGTGATTTAATCCATTTAAACCAAACTTATCAAAAACATGAACACTTGACCTTTGCTCTGGATTTGTTGTAGGAATCTTGTATAAAGTTTTCTTTCTGTTCCAGAGTAACTCACATAATTAACTCTCAGCCACAAACCAACCAAACTTCACGTTGATGTCAGATGTCTTCTCATTTAGTATGAGACGAACATGTCCGTCACTCTGAAGGTTCAATAACAACAATATTAAATGAGTGAACCGTCTCCTCCTTCCAGATGACCTTCACTCGTCCTGCGAACCACAGACAGCTGACGTTCACAGAGATCGCTCAGAGCGCCAAAATCCCCGTTAACGAGGTCGGTTGAATGACAAGTTTAATTTGCCCGATCACCCTCAGTGATTCTATCATCTATCCATCATCAGATGGTTTCTTCAGTTTTATTTGTAAACCCGTGTGTGTCCTGCAGGTGGAGCTGTTGGTGATGAAGGCTCTGTCCGTGGGTCTGATTAAAGGGAACATCGACGAGGTGGACCAGAAGGTGCAGATGACCTGGGTGCAGCCCAGAGTCCTGGACCTGCAGCAGGTCAGTGCACGTTCAGTTGTTATCTGTTCTGGTAGAGATGAAACCATCCACCCATCATCCTCTGAGGGTCTCAGGTGGAGCTCGTTTGGTGGGTGTGTCAGAGGTGTCGTCCTCTCAGCAGCGACGGGCACATGAACCTGTGACTCACCGGGTTCTAAAGTTCTCAGCTGTTGAAAACAGTGGAAGGAAACTTTGATGAGAACGTCGAGTCGAGCTCTCAGCTGCTGTTTGTGGTTTCAGATCAAAGGAATGAAGGAGCGGCTGGACTCGTGGTGCGGAGACGTGAAGAACATGGCCATGTTGGTGGAGCAGCAGGCCCACGACATCCTCACCTGAACCTTCAGTCAGCAGAGGAACCTTCAGCTGCTGCCACAGATTTCTGTTTTCTATCGTGTTTCTTTCTCCTGTTTCTGCTCGTTAACGACCTGGAAATGACTCTTTGGTATTTTACAAATAAACAACTGGTTGTATCGTCTTCACCACATGGACTGAAAATATTCTCCAGAAAAGTAATAAAATAAATCATCAGTGCCAGTTTTTAGCTGCTTATACACATTATTAATTATTTTATTTCTTCTTCTGAGGATTTATTATAGTTTTACCTGAATACTGAGACGTTTCTCTGCAGCACAACTTGAAAAACTTGTTTCTTCATGTTGAACACATTCGTTAGTCTGATCCTGTCATTGCATATTAACGTTTACATGTTGAACATTATGTTCAACATATAAACTGTTTGAATACGTGAAGAGATTCTTTAAGATTCCTACAGAGCAGAACAAACTGTTCCAGACGATTCCAGGGAGAACAGACGACTCCGACAGTTTCTGTATGAAATCATCATGAGTTCAACAACAACACAAACACGCGTGTTCACTTTGAGAACATGTAACTACACATCCGTTCATCAGCAGCTCTTCTGTGACGTCACTGTCACAGCTGATGATGTCATCACTGTTTCTTGAGTTAACAGAATAAAACAGATTTATGAGTTTTTCAGAAAAAACTGACTTCGAGTTCCTTTAAAGCTGATTGATCTTTATTTCCTGCTCATATTGATCCACGTTTTCTAAAATCTTGACTTTATCTCACTCAGCTGTGAGCAGAGACTCTGGGTCAGTTTTACTTTGAAAGAGACAAATAAATAATGAGTGTTGTGGGACGAGAACTTTCTGAAAGTACCACAGCGTCTCCTCCTGGACTCAGTTCATCCAGACGAACGATCACGTTCATCTCAGTGGAGTTTATCTACTTTATCGAAATCCATCACATTCACTTCGTTTAACAAAGATTGAAACTCTTAATAAATCTGAGCAGCGTGGACGTTCTCCGCTGGAGGACACAGGAGACATCATGATGCTGTGGATCAAGTGTGAACCATGAAAATCTAATGATTGTCTCACAGGTTATTTCCTGTTACCAGTAGATGGCGCTGTCACTTCACCTGAAGACTCTTGTTAAACATTTATATGAGCAGAAGATCTACATTTGTTAAACAGACTCTATAATGTTTGTCTTCACCACAAACTAAAGTTCTTGTAGAATAAAAATAATGAAATTAAACTGAAAACTAAATGATAGACGAACATCTCCCTGTTTTAAAAGCAGACGTGTTCCGTTCATCTTCAGGTTGATCATTTTAACTTGTGTTATGACAGTGAAATGTTTTCACGCTCTAATGTTACGATCACGTTCCTCAGACTGTCCATCGCTGCAGCTCCTCTCTTCAGCTTCTGTCTCAAACTCTTGCTTTTAGCTCCTGTCTCTTTAAGACCTGGTGAAGTCTGTTCTGATTGGTCAACAGCTTCCAGCATGTGCAGGACATGTCGGTTTGATAAGAACGACCTGAAATAACAGAAACCATCTTTGACAAACATTTATTTAGCACGTTATTTAGTTTGGTCCATGTGCTAACATGGAGGAGAGTTTAGGAGCTATACTGCAGCGAGCCACCAGGGGGCGATGGAGAAGATTTGTTTTAATGTGGACACTCGTCAACGTCCTCAGAGAATTAAAAAGTAAATTTAGACATAAACAAAGTTGATTAAAAGAAGATCTGATGTTTTTAAACTTGTCATTTGATTACAGATGTTTGTTGGTTTGGACGAAACGAGGAGGAAACGATCGTCTCTGTGTTCAGACAGTTTTTCACTCAAAGGTTGGATTTGATTCAAGTTCCACAGGAAGAACAACACCAACAGAAATCCACAGTTTCCATATTTGACTTGATTCGTTTGAAAGGATCCTTCTTGTGTCTTGTTGTGTTTTCGTGGTCAGAGAAGTTGCACTGAGACTCGCTCCCTCACTATAATTGTAATCATCTCCACTAAGTATCTACTTAGCTCTACCAGCTAATTGGAACAATTAGCAGAGACTTAAGAACAAGCAGCAGAATCTCATGTCGCTTAAAACCCCCGAGCTGTTCAGGAGGAAGGAAACTTCAGAAGTTGACTGGCCTCAGATCTGCAGACGATCGTCATCATCATCAGTTTAAACAGGTTTCATTTCACTTTGTGCTTTAAAAACCTCAACGAGACGTTTTTCTGCCTCGTTTGTGTTTGTGTCTTGGGCAGAAAGCAGTTTTCAGATTGTCCGTTCTCTTTGTCGACGACTGAAAAGAACTTTGTGTTTGTTCTTGTGCCTCAGTGAACACATGGGTCACGTTCAGCGCTGCAGCAAAGAAAGAGAATCATTCAACATCCTGTTTGGAGGATGTTGCTCCGAGATGAATGAATGAATGTGTGTCGTCTTCTCAGAATCAAATTCAGTCACATTTTATTTCTATGGCCCATATTCAGAAATCACCACATGTCTCATGAACAAGGTGCGACTTCCTCTGTTCCTATGAAGAGTAAGAACGTCACAAACAAGTTTTCACCGGTTTAGTAACGTCACTGGTTTATTTCGTTTTTCGCCACGTTCATCAAAACTGTTTTGTTTTTGTAACAGGTTCAATTTATTCGACTTTTTAAACCAAACCTAATAAAGTGATTCTGTGAGATGACGACTTACTTCTGCTGTTCTTAGCGTGTGATCGAATCACAAACATGTGTCTGGTGTATCCGCAAGATGCAATATGCACATGAACAGTAGGGGCAGTGTTCTCACTCTACCATCATTCGTTCACGTCCTCCAGGTTCACCGTGATTTTCTTTACATGGTAAGTTCTCTACAGTGGGAGTTCTGGTGCGCCCTCTAGTGGAATACTGCAGTAATGTGGGTAGTAGACAGTTACACTCACATATTATCACGTGTGTTCTGATTATTACTCGTAGGTTCCGTGGTCGTCTCTCAGTCCACTGCTTGTGCTCGTGTGAAACCAGAGAGAAAGACCCAGAGTGAAGCTGAGGGGAGAGTGGCAGCGGATCCATGAGCTCCCAACCAGCAGTCATCAGGAGGGCGACTGCTGGTGACCACTGTTCATTCTGGGAGGAGAGCGAGAGAAACAAGGCTGGATAATTAGGAAAGGAGGATGAATCCCTGAAGGGAGCGAGAGCAGAGAGATCTGTGCATGCAGCTATTAGCTCCATCCCTCCGTCTCTATCTCTTTAAGAGCTCAGAGAAGGAGTGTGTGCGCTCCGAGTGTGTGTGTGTGTGTGGGGGAGGGGTATTGGCTGGGATGGAACAGTCCTGTAATGAGCAGATTTTAGAGCGAGAGAGAGAGGCAGAGATAGAAAGAAAAAGAGAGAGAGAGGCCGAAAAGCAGGAGAGGGCAGATGACTTGGTGGATTTAGGAAACAACAACAATCCAGAATCAGACGAGCGTTGAAACCAAGAGACAAAGGGAAGAGGAGAGGAAGCATTTTTCTTCTGCTCTGTTTTTTCCTCCTCATCTTCAGGTCGCAGCAGAGGAGAGAGAGGAGCTGGAGAGATATTCTGTGTTATGTCTGCTGAGGTGTGTGTTTGTGTGTCTGTGTGTCTCTGAGCGTTAGCCCGGATCCTTGTTTCCAGGCCACGCTACAGAAAAATCTCCTCAACTTCTCTGCTCCTCTGATCTTCTTCTTATTTGACGTGGTTGGAGTGCGGCAGCATCTCCGTCCTGTTTCCCCTCTGTGCTGCCGGTGCGGCAGGATGTGCCGATGCTGTAATGTCTGACTGAGCTGAGCCCGGTCGCTGCTGCTACCTCCGCCACCGCCGCCGCTCTGTGGGCCTCTGGGACTGCTGGAAAAGCCTAGGCCTCACTCGTCTGAAGCGCCCTGCTGCACGGCTGAGGCGACGGGCCGGCGAGCTCCCCGGCTGCGAGGCTGCGGGGAGCAGGAAGGTGGAGGAGGAAGTGGAGGAGGATGAGAAGCCTGCACGCCCATGGGGAGCAGCGTGCACGGCAGCTGCGTTCGTCACTCCAGACTCGTCGCTGAGGCTTCGATTGCTTCTTCGTAACGTGACGCTCTTTGTGATGTTCTGTTTTTAAAGCGAGGAGCTGTTACATCCTGAGCTAAGAGGAGAGGGAGAGTGGAGGCCCTGCACCTCCATGTTACCTGAGTCAGACGAGGCCTCCTCCCTCCTCGCTCCCTCTGAGTGAACCAGGTCCTTGTCTCTTTCTTTTTCTTGACGTTCTAAGGATTTGCCTAAACCTGTTTCATGCATGTCCACTGGAGGCAGGTTTGACTTTGATGATGGGGGGTCGTACTGCGGGGGGTGGGAGCAGGGTAAGGCCCACGGCCGAGGGGTCTGCACGGGGCCCCAGGGTCAGGGCGAGTACGCGGGGGCCTGGAGCCACGGCTTCGAGGTCCTGGGCGTTTACACGTGGCCCAGTGGGAACAGCTACCAGGGCACCTGGGCGCAGGGCAAGCGGCATGGCATCGGCGTGGAGAGCAAGGGCCGCTGGGAGTACAGGGGGGAGTGGACGCAGGGGTTCAAGGGTCGCTACGGGCAGCTGGAGAGCACGGCCAGCGGGGCCCGGTACGAGGGGACATGGAGCAACGGCCTGCAGGACGGATACGGCACAGAAACCTACTCTGACGGAGGTAAGGCTGGTCCTCTGAACCCCCCCCCACATACACATGGAGCCACTCGCTCATCGAGCTGATGGTCACTTCAATACAACAACATGACAACATGTGGGTCACAGTCATGGACCAGGGGACACGGGGCCCCAGAGGGTCAAAGGTTCACTGTGATGTAGCTGATGTCAGATCTGTGGACGAGTGTGAGGTCGGATCAGCTGCAGTCAGACGGTCGCTCTGCTTCTCCGACGTTCAGGACGATACTGACGGATCTGATGAGTGATTGTTTGTTTGTTTGTTTGTTTGTTTGATTGTTTGTTTGTTTGATTGATTGATTGATTGATTGTTTGAGACTGAAGAGAGGTCCGGACGTGTGTTCTGATTGGACGTCATCAGACCATGTGGTGCTCAGGTGGTGAGGAGTCTGAGTGAACTCCACATTTAAACAAGCAGAATGAAAACAGATCCAGCTCTTGACAGATTTTAATTCATAGAAAAACTACAAATCATAAACTCAAAAATATTAAAAACAAAACATGATTGGCTGTGAGACACACCGTGGGCGGGGCCTACCTCAGGTGAGGGTGTTAACGTCCAATGATCTCGAGCCAGGAAGGAAAACTCGTGACTAACGATGTGAAGAGCTAACGCTAACATTCACTAACATCTGCTGCTCGTTAGAGCTCTGTCAATAAAGTTCTTTCAAATGGACGAAGACAACTCACTCGTCTTCTTGGTTAATGGGGGGGGGGGGTTCACCTTCCCACTGACCCGCCTCCACTGTGTGTGTCTGTGTGTCTGTGAGTGTGT